AGAAAGGGGACGCGACGGAGTGCTCCAACTACCGCGGCATCAAGTTGACTCCCCATACCATGAAGCTGTACGAGCGCCTGGTCAACACTAGGCTGAGGGAACTTGTCCCTATCTCGCAGGAACAGTTCGGCTTCATGCCCGAGAGGTCCACCACCGATGCCATCTTCATCGCCAGACAGCTGATGGAGAAGTACCGAGAGAAGCGGCGACCCTGCTACCTAGCCTTCCTGGACCTTGAGAAGGCATTCGACCGCCTGCCTAGGCCTGTACTCTGGAGAGCGCTCAGAGAACGTAACGTTCCGGAACACCTCATCTCCATAGTGAAGGACATGTACGATGGGGCTAAAGCAGCTGTACGCACCCCTCACGGCTTGACAAAGGAGGTAAACATTACGGTTGGGGTACACCAAGGATCAGCCCTCAGCCGTTCCTCTTCCTCCTGACTCTAGATGTCATGGCAAAAGAACTCATGGAGGGACCACTGAAAACCATCCTCTACGCTGACGACATCGCCCTGATAGCGGACAGCAGGGAGGAACTCAGGACAAGGTGCAGCGGTGGCAGGATGTGCTCGCTGAGAATGGACTCCGGCTGAACGTAAAGAAGACCAAGTTCCTAAGCTCCGAAGAGTGCGCCGAAGTCATCGTAGATCGCCATGGCGAGAACATCGAAAGGGTCGAGGATTTCCAGTACCTGGGGAGCAACCTAGCAGCTGATGGCAGCGTGGACCAGGCGGTGATGGCCCGAATCAACGCAGCCTGGATGAAATGGAGGGAGTCCACTGGCATCCTGTGCGACCGGCGGTGCTCGAGAACGCTCAAGGGCAAGGTGTACCGGGCGTGGTAAGGCCTACAATGCTCTACGGCAGTGAGTGCTGGCCCATCTGCAAGAACCATGAAAGGCAGCTCCACTCAGCTGAAATGAGGATGCTGAGATGGGCCTGCGGCTGGACACGACTCGACAGAGTCAGAAACGAGGACGTCAGGCGGTCACACAGACGGCTCCTATCCAGCTGAAGGCACGAGAGCAGCGACTGCGATGGTACGGTCATGTACTGAGGAGGCCTGAAGACCACCCAATAAGGAAGGCATTGGAACTCGAGGTAGAGGGCAAGCGACCACGAGGAGCCCCAAAGAAAAGATGGAGGGACGTCATCAAGAGGGACCTCACTGAAGTGAAAGCCACAGCAGAAGATGCAGTGGATCGGAACAAGTGGCGACGTCTAACAAGAACAGCGGACCCTGCGACGGCGCGGGACTAACGCTAGGGAGAAGAAGAAGGTTATTCTTGTTCAGAGACGATGTTCAAATGGGAGGGGGGCCGTAGTTGTCCACTATCGGGAGGGGGATGGGGTCGTACTTGCCTTCTTACCGTCTCAGAAAGGTTGACCTTTGTAGTTGTTCCTATTTCATGTGTACTATATAACCCTCCAGTCCTTGACTAGAAAGTCCTGCTCACATCAATGGGGGACCCCCTTTGCTGAAACAGGTAAAATAGAACGCGGAGACTTCTGCAGACACTTGTGCTGTTTTCGACAATTAGAAAGGTTCTCTCTACAAAGTACGACCCTTGTACTGTTACAACGGTTGTACTGCCCAACCGCGATGAATAGCTCACGAAAAAAGTAGAGGATGAAAGATCACGTACTTGCTGACGGCTTGGCCGTACTTCACCATTCCAAAGAGTATGACACCCGTATACGCATAGAAAAGGACTAGGAGGAACATCGCTGTGATGATGAAGAATGATCGGAACGTACCCATCACAACAGTGAGCATCAGCATTTTCAAAGTTGAATTTCGACCTGGAAGTCCGTCAATGAGTTCTAAATTCACTGAATGTGTGTTCACCTTGCATAATCCGCCTCGGTACTCGAACTCACTCGCAATCGTAAAGAACCGTAGAATCACAATGATGTACCCAAAAGTGTAAGTGAAGGTTTTCAGTTGTTTCTGAGGTGCTGGATCAAAGGAGCTGGAAGGGAGAGCAACAAAAAAGTGCAGAAAAATCCAGAACAAGCCGAATACGGTTATGAGCAGATCGATCCTGTTGCGACGAGATTGCCAGAACCCAGCAAATGTGAACGCCAACACTTTCAGGATGATCTGAAAGCAGAAATGCGATTCTAGTCAACCGTACCAGTAAGTGAGCTCATTCCCCATTAAAAGCGATGAGGATTACTTAGGCTGCGCTCATACTTTACGGCAGCAACTAATAGAGTCCATCAGCGGTCGGAGCATCCGGCAGCGTCAGCGACCAGGAAAGCATAGATTTCGATATAGCGTCTGCCAGCGTCCAACAGCGACCAGCAGCAGACTCCTTGGTAGAGGCCATGGCTCAAGGAGCATGCCAGCTTTTGCTACCCTCCTATCTCTCGATACTCTACCAGCTATCTTAGCTATCTTCTACCCTCCCACCGCGCCATACTCTCCACTCTCAAATGCTGATCGACGCCGAATCGATACCTATACTTCCCTAGCCTTTGAGACGCTGGTGGACGCTGCTAGACGTGGCGGACGCGGGCTACGCCAGATCGATATCTATCTTTTCTGGTCGCAGACGCTGCTGGACGCCCGAAACGCTGGTGGACGCTGCCACAAAGTAGATTGCAGCCTCATTAGTGGAAGAATCACCTCCACAGCAAACAGGATATTGATGATAGCACTGAGAGCTGTAACAGAGAAGAGTACGGTGCTTCTCTCGCCTTCTTCCTCGACATTCCATGGAACAACAAGACATGCTGAATTGAGCAGCACCAGGAAAGCAAATACCTGAATCAGTGCACTATGAACGAAGGATCAGTCCGCGCGGCATTAAATATCCTTTTACACTTCTCCAGTGCTCTTCTACAACGATGAAATTTTGCCTGAGGTCGATCCCTTTTTGGGATGCGGTACGCACTGCTATTGAGAAACGCAGCAGCTTGGCGAATGCAATATACAGTGGTTGCGCGGCCAGGCGATGCACGAGTGAGCGTCTGTTTCCTTTTAGACGAGCCTAGCAGCAATTCCGATCCTGGAGTTATAGAAGGCACGGTAACTCAGCGGTAACCGATGTGAGGTTTCACCCCTGGACTGTACTGGATAATATACGAGTCATCTGCCACTACAACTGCTTACTGGTTATTTGGTAATTCATGGAAAACGGAATAAGAGGTAGTTAGTACCTCACAAAAGGGTGGTGACTGTAATTGGTCGTACAAGTCTAATGCGCTTTATCAAATCCGTGGGATTCA